ACTCGGTAAAAAAACTCTATATAACAAAATTGTAATCACCAACCTTTTTGCTAGGAGGCTTAGGTGGGGAAACACCTCCCGTCAATGAGGAAACCAAAATGCAGTTAAATTACTGGCAATGGTTATGCCTTGTTCCCTCGAAGGCCTATGAAGACCAATGACTGAGTCCTAATTCATCTGGCAAGTGCCGAATACCCTCGGTGTGTAGACGGTTCCTCACTGTCTGGGCTGAAGTCTTAGCAATCCTGACATTGCTGTAGCCGTGGAGGTGATCGTGGAGAGTTTATCAGGTAAGCGACGAATCAGTCATGCTGTTGTGTTACTTGGTTGACTGCATCTGGCTGGGTCACGTGTTGGCCCATGCGTCTGGTAACGGTTCCATCGTCTTGTGGTGCTTGGGGATACGTGGAAAAGCCTGGCTACGGCGGACGCAGTGTCGCATGTCTGTAGTCGAGTTAAGTTTATTTCTGTAGTGGGGAGGCCTTGGGCCCATATCACTGTTACATACATGGGATACATTAACATTTTATACAATGAGGATATTTTGTCGGAGAATCATAGGTTTGTACACATAGATAGCTGAGTTGATCAGAATAGTTTCATTAATAGTTACATCAATATTGCAAATTTGTGATAAGTACAATGGGCAAAGTATTTTTCAGGTATAAATTTGGTTGTAATTTCTTCATAGGCACTACAAATTCAATTATATTCATCCTCGATATAATGCTTTTTTTACAAACTAAACACGTCCAGACTGGTCTATCCTGCTTAATATATCGACCCGATGCTACTGCTAACTTGTCGGAACCACACCTTAGGCGAGCTGGAGCATTTCGAAATGTTGACAGTGTTAAAGTGTCTTTGTACATTTCACGATCAAATGATGTTTTAAACGAAGAATATAGGGATGTTTTTTAGCCATTGCATAAAGCATAGTGCCACTCATGTTCATAAGAAACCATAATACGATTAACACATTCAGAGAGGAATCGATTACTATTGCTGACCTGTTGTAGTTCCCAGGTGTATCCCAACCCATTTTGATATGGAACATGCCTTACTCTGGATGCCAAATTTACTTTACCATTTTCGAAGTCGTTTAACATCATATTATAGCACTTTCTTACATATTTGTCATCAGGTAACCGAATCAGTCTACACATATATTTCACAACTCTTTTACAGCAAAATATATACAAAGGGTATCTACCAAGTTCACCACGTACAGTGTGGTTGGGTGTACAACATTTTACACGTATAAAAAGGGCGCATGTAGAAAGATGAGCCTGTTCAATCTCACTGTGAGGATAGGACAATCCCCACACCTCTTGAGTGTCAAAAATCTTGAAGAATACAAATAAAGGCAGCGGGTTCAAAGAAAACAAAGATTTAATATGCCATGTAGTGCTCTGCTAGCTTGGTTAGCCTGGCATTTGCGATATGTGTAGACCATGAGAGTGTTTTAGAAAATATTGCTGTACAGACAAGAACAACCCCATCGTTTTCATAGCCCAACAATTCATGTCGAACGATGGCGTCTTCACATGTTTTCAATTTTCACTTGCTGTACAAATGAGACGACAGACAAGAACAACCCCATCGTTTTCATAGCCCAACAATTCATGTCGAACGATGGCGTCTTCACATGTTTTCAATTTTCACTTGCTGTACAATTGAGACGACAGACAAGAACAACCCCATCGTTTTCATAGCCCAACAGTTCATGTCGAACGATGGCGTCTTCACATGTTTTCAATTTTCACTTGCTGTACAATTGAGACGACAGACAAGAACAACCCCATCGTTTTCATAGCCCAACAGTTCATGTCGAACGATGGCGTCTTCACATGTTTTCAATTTTCACTTGCTGTACAATTGAGACGACAGACAAGAACAACCCCATCGTTTTCATAGCCCAACAATTCATGTCGAACGTTCAATTCATGTCACTTTGTTTAACGTGGTTCCGTTTAACGTGCGAAAATCACACCCGATGCATGAAGAAATTCTTATTTGACATTCATTGTGTATGAATATCAGCAAAACTCTTTCAGATATTTCCAGTTTTCCTCTTTTTACGTTATATTTTTGGAGTATATGATTAAATCCATATTTCAGACTGCGCCAGAGGGTTACTTTTCACCAGTACGTCATCGGGTTAATGTTGAACAGTACTGCAGATCACAATTGTCTACTTGGACTTTCATTTTGTAAATGGGACTGTGGATTCTAACACTTCACAGCCATGGACAGCAAGGAGTATAGGAAGGAAGTGAGATTCAGCCAAGTCGAACTTTGCTCTGAAACAGTAACATGTGAGTATGTTTTGCAGTTGGAATTTTGTTGTTTTTTTTAATTAAAAATAAATATGGAGAAATTTAATCGTCCACCATTATTTCTACTTTTGAGAACATGTTACCCCGATGTAAGATGTCTTTTCGATTTCTAAGGAACGACTTGGTTCACTAAAACAGTGCAAATATGCAACAGGTTAAGATGAAATTTCAAACAGATCTTTGTGGCACTATTTCTGCTTTTAGAACCATTATTGGAACTGAAAAACATTATGAGTGTTTGTCTTGAACTTCGGTTATGTTTAGATTTAGAGTCAATGGACTATGGAGGAAGCAGAGAAAGGTCCGGGGAAATTATGAAGATGTGTGAACAGGAATGAATGAAACTTAGACAGCAGGTATAAAATGATAGGGAACAAGAACGAAATAAACATGAGTGAAGCAAAATGTCAGAATAGGAGGAAATCCTATGTGACCACATAGAGGTCAGAGAATTTGGAGACAATCATCAAGAGTCACTAGACAGAAGGAGGAAGCACTGCTGGTGCACCAAGAACCACAAAGAACTATCCAGTACAAAGCAAATCAGCTACACATCGCCATCACAGACACGACACATAAAATACACTGCATAAAGTGAAACTCCACAGAACGACCGTCCTTCTAATGCGGGCAAACACGCAGGGGCGGATCCAGAGGGGGCTGGGGGTTGGTTCGGGGTGTTCACCCCCACACCCTTCTCCCTCGACAAAATTTTCCCCCTAACCTTTTGACTTCATGACTTTATGTGTACCCACCGTATCCAAAATCCTGGATCCGCCTCAGAAACACAAATATTAACAAAGCAAACACACACAAAAAGAACACGTAGAGAGAAAATGATCAATCAATTCGAGAATAAAAAACAGAGAAATTGGAAGTATAATAAATGACATACTGAGAGCACAATGTCCATATGTGGAGGAAGCTATCAGGAAACATTGACAAAAATTGAAATATAACACCTTTACATCTAACTTCACTTGCGAAAAAACACATTGTGCGTCATTAAAAATATGTGTGGTTGAATATCTCTAACGGAGCTACTGAAATATTTGTTTGTGTGTGTGTGTGTGTGTGTGTGTGTGTGTGTGTGTGTGTGTGTGTGTGTGTGTGTGTGTGTGTGTGTGTGTGTGTTTCATCTGTGTAAAATGGCAATTTTAAGAACGTACAAAACTGGAGCTGAGAAGGGTTTTGATTCACACATCATTTCGTGCACGAAAGGATTTTGCCTCTGTGCTAGGGAACAATCTTATCATTGTTTATCATTTTCACTCTCATCCTGTACGTATTGTAGCACCTGGTAGCTGTGCATCGTTTGCATGCACGGTTCCCGCTCAGTTGGATCAATAGACATTGACATAGTGGACGGTGCATCATTGTCAACAAAGTTAACACATGTATTTCTGAAACGATTTATTGATATCCTGAAACATTAAGAGCACCGAGTATTCCATTGACATTTATTAGAAATTAAACATTAAGTCGTACACCATTCCCCGTCTCTTAGGGCAGTGTACTGTTTGTGCTGCCTTATTATAGGAAGTGTTGTGTTTTCCCCGGATACAACCGCCCGCCATCAGATTACCAGCTCTCACCTCACCAGTTTATTGTTTGCCAAGTTGTCAGGTTACAGTGAGACCTGATATTATGATAAGTAGCTGGTGTTTGGATTTCAACGCACTTCGGCTTTTTCAGCTTTAGGTACACATTTGTTGCAATCTGTAGAAAGGCTAACATGCCAATATTAACTATTTCTTTGTTCTAAAACACATGCGTGTACAGAATCGTCTGGTCGATTTGGGTAGAGGATTACTCATTACAGTAAGCCAATTACACAGAAAAACCCTGCAACATACCACACATTTACCTTGCCACATGAGGCAGCGTCAAGCCAATCACATACTGCTTCTCTAATCTATGGTTCATTGGCCTCTTCTGCAGTATAACAAGGGAGTTGTCTCCATTACTCCCACATATGAAGGCTAACAGTGCATCAGTGAAGACGATACAAGGTGTGACGACCGTGAGTTGAGATAATCTGGAAACATGTGTCGGGTCTTTCTGGTGCTTCTCATCTCTGTTTCAAGCAGACAGCTAACATTCTCTGCCACCATAGATACCTTACATCGTCTACGTCATCACTTATTCACTAACTACACCTCAGATGTAAGGCCGTTACTAAACCAGTCACAACCTCTTGTCATAGATGTCGATTTCCAGTCCATAAGGATTCATCACATTGACAACACACAAAAGGAGTTCTCCATCCGGGGAATACTGTCCCTTGCTTGGAAGGACGAGTTCCTCTCTTGGAAATCAGCTGAGTTTGGAGGTCTGAAACACTATCACCCAAAGACAGAGGAAATTTGGATTCCACGCATGCTCAATGAAGACGGTATTGAAGGCCAAGATGTTATGGACACGATAACAAGGCGGGTGTTGTACAAAAATGGATCGGTTCTGGTTCATGTTCCTGGGTATTTCTCAACCTTTTGTAATTTTGACATGACATATTTCCCGTTTGATAGTCAGTCTTGTAACATCCGTCTGAACTCCTTAGATTATTTTGCTGAAGAACTGGAATTCCGTCTTGTTTCAAAACAAGTGACGACCATTGGACATTATAACGCAGATGCTGAATGGACTTTGGTCTGGGCTACGATGGCAAATGGTCAAATCATCAATACTGCACATAGGTACAACAGAGTTAGCATCACGTTCCTGGTAGCCAGAAAGCCTTTGTTTGCCATTTTAAACATCGTCATCCCCATCGTCACCATCTCCGTCCTCAGCATGATGGTGTTCCTCGTCCCCGTGGAGTCTGGGGAGAAGTTGTCCTTCTCTCTGTCAGCGTTGTTGTCACTGGCAGTCTTCATGAGCTTCATCAGTGAACAGATTCCTGCATCGTCGGAGAAACCACCACTGCTGGTCATCTACCTGACGTCGATGGTTCTGCTGAATGCTCTGTCAGTCGCCAGTACAGTTCTCGTCTTGCTGTGCCATCACCGAGGATCTGTTGACAAGGAAACCAGAGCATACAAAAGTTCATTCAACCCGAATACTGCTGATGTTGGGAACGAGAAACCTTCATTAAGAAAACTCATTCCGTTGGTCTGCTTTGGGAAGAATAAGAAGTATATGTCAGCCAGCCGTGCCTTGAACAACACGCTGCTTCTGCTATTTATGGGTGTTGTCATTGGAATTACTATTGGTTTAATGGCTCGAATGACAAATAACAACTGACATTTTAATAGCTACTCCGAACAAACAAAACGTCGGATTTTACTTCAATCAGAAATATATTTCATTGCCATGATTGTGTAAACTATTATTTGATATTCCACAACATGCACTGCCTTGTGATTTGACATCGACAGCAGTCACTGAAACATCCGTGGAGCGATGTGGCTGTGGTCACTGTGGAAGTGGTATCACAACAGAAAGTCACCTTATCAAAACCGTGTGTGGCCCTCGCCTGCATCAATCAGAGAGCTCTGTATCGTTGTCTTATTGACGTCACTGATCCATGAATTTCCTGTGGCAGAATGTTATTCCATTCTTCAAGGCAGTTTCAAATTCGGGAAGGTTCTGACTTGGTTTAACATGTCTGTCCATGCAGCGAATATTCTGATTTCCACGAATAGGAACAAGACCGGTGTGACAACTGTGTGCAATTCACAAGCCATTACAGATCCACCTTCTCCTAAACGGTTCCTCTCAGACAAGCGTAAGCATAACGTTTATTCCTCCGGCTCTACACCTGATGTCTATCCTCGCCTTTGGAAAGTAAAAAACGCCATCCAGATGTCCACTCTCGACGTTGACGTCAGTAATGTGGATAAGAACCAGGCTAACGCAATGCTTCATGGCTCAGATCATGCTGTCGCAGCTGATAGCGAACAGTTTGATCACTGATTCAGTTATGAGTTCCTATAGTGGTCTGTGTAGTAACGGTTGCTGGGAGAAAACGATTGCGTAAATGTCAGTGAAGTGGTGTGAACTTTGGTAGTAATACGTGGATGACCCTTTCGTGGACGATCAGTGGTTACTCCGGTAACATTGTAACGCATCCTACGACGTGTACGGACCTCACGACCGCACCAACTTGTAAAGGAGCGTCTGCAGTACGCATGCCAGCGTGAAACCTTTCGATGGCTCCGTCAGGAACATTATTGAGGAGTCTTGGCATTTTCAGACTCTCAATGTCGAAAGACTGTGTTCAAATTGTTTTCTAACAACTGAATTCAATGATGGCCAGATACCTTAACATTCGCATGTACGACATGTAAATCGTGCGATCCACGATGTTCTTAGGATTGTAGTTTTAACGTTTGTATTAGCTGATACCCTATGTTTGTCGTATCTATCAACTATGGTGTCTAAGAAAAAAATATAAATATAATTTAGTTGAGTCATTTTATAAATAGTAGTTAAAGTTTTATGATGCTTTAATATGGATCTCAGATGGTGATGTCTGTAATTACTTTAGTTGTTGTTGTAGGTATATAATCCAACGTCATGCCCTGTGTGTCTTGCTACAGTTGCCAGTGTGTGCCAGCTAGTGTATCTACACCAGAATGACATGTCAAAGTGTTACACACACATGGTTACAGATGCGGTCCTTACTGACCTGCTGACAGTTAATGTACACTGTAATCAGTGTCAGCCCTCTTTAACATAACATTGACAGTTCAACCATCATTCAGCTCTGCACCATTAAACTTGTCCTGTCCGAATATGAATATCCAGCTAAGGTCCATGCAGGTAGCAAAAGTAATGGAAGTCCACATGGTCCCTGGTATGGTGATCTACCTTCAGTTGTTAGCAATCTATAGCCCGTTTATATATTGTGTTGTCCTCTATAATTAAAATGTTTTAGATTTAATTACTAGTTTTACATTTGTATCAGTGATATTCTAGTTGTTTTACTGTCCTTCGTTGACAGGCTTTTTATAATTTACCTATAATTGTTCTTTATATGCAACTTGATATAGTCACGATATGGCTGAAATACTGTCGATGTGACTTAAAATCTTAACTCACTCACCGAATATGAATAAGATAATACCTGTCTCAATGATCTATGCATTTTCAAAATAACTACCTTTGACAATGGAAACAGTTCAATAGGTCTGTGGAATGAGGAGATTTACCCTGACCTTGTATGCTTCTGAATATTACTATTCCTGCGTACATGTGCCCAACATGTCCGGGGACATTGCCATTTGGTTTACTTGTTACTAAACATAATCTTGGGCCTTCCCTTTCTGCCAGTCATTGGTATTAGTAATGGAAGAGCTTAGAAAAGTCCTCCATAATGAAGGTTGAGTTATCTTGTCCTTTTTAAAATAAAAATTCAAACGTTTGGAGAATTTATGAGTCAAGCTTTGATTTTTAAAAGTATATTTAATTTCATAGAATTTTTCTTCTTCTTCTTACAAGCGAAAACCAACCTGTAGGCCAGACGTTGAGGACTTACTCCACAAAGTCATAGTGCTCTTTACGACCAGTGGCAGGCGGCCTCTCATGATCTCAACAGGGAAATGGAGGTTTTCTCTGATCTTCTTGCCAACCTGGAAGACAGTGACCCTAAGGACCCTGTATCTGGCAGTCTTGCCAAGGCACCCATATGCATGCCTCATTCTGAGGTACATGGTACGGAAGTGTCATGGCAGAGTTCTAGCACAAAGCCAAATACGGAGGAGATAGACCCCTCGGGTTCCCCAAGGTGGTAAGGTTAATGTCCATCAGAGACATGCTCTAACCCTGGGTATAGGGAAAGGAGGGGGACAGGCAAAACCAAATATATGGCCCCTCAACCAATCCCATTTAACTCAGCCCAGTGGATTGATACACGTGAAACCCCATCCACCCAAGGGACAGCTATATCCAGGTCCCGTCGTCCTCAGCCTGCACGAGATGACAGTGTGAAGGATAAAGCATTGGAAGGCAGGGAAATCTCAGATAGAGAGCCAGATGGGGAGGAGAAGGCACATCTGCTCAAGCGAAATGGGAGTGATACCGTTGGGCCTCCGACTTCAAGCACCCATGTTGGACCTGGAGAGATGTATCCGGAAGATGAGACAGAACATGGTTTGTCAAAATATACAGAGGGATACCCTCGGGTTAATCGTGCTCAAAGGGAACAGGATTACCCTGTATATGGAGATACCTATGGACACTCCTATGGCAGCCATAAATGTTCAAAGGTCTCAGATGTATGGAGACTATATTGAACACGATCCAAGGGAGCATCATTCCGTAGAAGGCCCTAACCGATGCCGGGTGGATCGTATACAGCCTGTGGCCCGCATACCAACCAGTTGTGTGGAACTCCAGGCACTTGGGGGTCATTCTGGATGTTTTAAAGATGATCCCCGCACATGCCCCAAGATAGGCAAACCTCTACGATGTGTAAACCTCAACGTAATGATAGAATAGAAAGGATTCAGCAAGCTACTCATCGTCGTTTATCTGACTTGACTGGCAGGTACTGGATAAAGCTGCAACATATTCGTCAACAGTGATGTTCGGGCCCTTCACATAATAGCACCCCAGAGAAGGCTCGAACACCCTCAAAATGTCTCGGATAGGAGCAAACTTGTCCTTTGCGCAACGAGCACTTCTCGACGCCTTGTCATCGAACCTGAGCATGGACATGAGATCTAAGAACCGCCTTTCAGACATTGCAGCCCTGACAAAGGGAATTCTATATCCCTTACTCCACAACAGCTTTGAAGCCACCATCGACTGTTTCAGGTGACCAGTAGTCATCAGATCTCCTATCACCGCCCGAATCTCATCATCATTCGTTTATTTTCAAACACTTTCTTGTTTCTCTCACAGCTCTCTTCCCCTCTATGTTCGTGGGCGGTAGGGCAGCTTAGTGGTTAAAGCGTTCGCTCGTCACCCGGGTCGGATTCCCCACATGGGTACAATGTTCAAAGCCCAGTTCTGGTGTCCTCCGCCGCGATGTTGCTGGAATATTGTTAAAAGTGACCTAAAACCTCACTCACTCATTCACTGGCTGGTGACAATGGACTTGTTGACCATCTACTGCCATCTTTTCCAACCACAAACCTTTGTCCAGGTTCATGATTATCAGCAGTGTTTTCCTGCTCTGTATCACTGGATGATGTGCCATCACTGGAAGTGGACGGCAGAAACTTGCTGTCTGATCCTCTGTCTTCTGTGAAAAGTGGTTATGCTTCATCATTGGCCTCGTAGTTGCTTAACTGGCCAAAATCTCATTCAAACCTCCGTAGCTCTACCTTCGTTTGCTCATTTTGATGCAACAAAAAAGTACAGTCAACTGAGTACATGGACTGTTTGGATGTAGAACACCAACCTTTTAGCAATGTCCCGGGGCCTATCAATCCCATGCATGCACTTAACGTGGGTGAAAGTTAATAATGACCAAAAAACTTAATCAGTAATTAAGTGTTGATGAAAACGTTTTTGAGACAAGTATTCACAGTACTGGAGGAAGTTTCAGCTAAAAGTTGTAATTCCTTTGTAAGATATAGAAGCGGAAACAATTATTTGAAACGTATTGACAGGTCCTGTGTCTTCGAAGATAAAGTTTATTGGACTGATCTATATTGTCAACGTATGTCATGGACAATGTTTCCGTCGTTGATACAGTTTTTATGATACTTCAACATCGATCCCAGATGGTGATGTCTGTAATTACTTTGGTTGTTGTACGTATATAATCCAAAAACCGATGGTTGATGTTATGAGCATATGTTGTGTGTGTTTCGTTATTACAGTTGACATTGTGTGTCAGCTAGTTCCATCGATACCAGAATGACATGTCATAGTGTTACACACACATGGTTACAGATGCGGTCCTTACTGACCCGCTGACAGTTTATGAACATTGTAATCAGTCTCACTGTTTAACATAACATTGTCAGTTCAACTATCATTCAGCTCTGCACCATTAGACTTGTCCTGTCAGAATATTACCACTCGCTCCAGGTGATAAAAGTGGCCATAGTGCACACTTTGTGTGTACACTGTTATCAACCATCTCATTGTGTACATATGGCTCCTGGTAGGGTTTTAACAAATCTGTTTATAATTTATAAATATTGTGCGCACACACACACACACACGCACGCACGCACACACACACACACACACTCGAGGCGTTCATAGTGGCCAGAGTGGTCTGTCTGAGGCTTTCTGCTCGGTATACACCATGTGTGTACACTGTTATCAATCACCTCATTATGTACACGTGGCTCATGGTAGGGTATTAACTAACATGTTTATAATTACTGAACATTGTACTCACACCCATACCCACTCGAGGCGTTCATATGGCATTTTGTATTTCGAGGCGTTCATAGTTGTCACAGTGTGGTCTGTCTGAGGCTTTCTGCTCCATGTGTGGACACTATTATCAGTTAAACTCATTATGCACACGTATTCCCGATGGGATATTTACTAACCTGTGTATAATTAATGAGCTTTGTACAATACAGTTATATCTGTTAGCCTGTCTCATTGCCCATTACGTATCCAGGATAACTCTCTTTGACATAGAATAGGTCTGTGGTATCAGCAATTTGAGAAGATATGTTTCGCCCACCATGACGGAGTTTTTATCATCGTCCTTCATGTACTTCCTACAGTGATGGATGACAGCAGCCTACTGGCCCTGTTAAACGCATTTACGTTGTTGTGAGTGTGATGACATTCAGATATATTTCTTGTCTAGCTGTTGAAGAATAATCTATGACATATTTTCAAAGAAGGCGATTAAAATCAAATTCCCTCCCTTTCTGTTACTTAATAGTCTACTTGTATATTCTGCCAGATTGATACACGAGGGTAACAAAGAAACGAATTAAAAGACAATAAATAACGTACTACCTGTATGGATTGTATAATCACTGGTGTTCTTATAAACAGCTGCTGTGAACTCATCTATTATATACATGTATACGCTTTGTCTTTGCTGTCATGCTGCTAACCATGTTGAACAAAGACTTGTTCTTGAGACTTGTTATTTATATTCTAGTGCTCTTCTAAGGAGTCTCTACTTGACTTTTTGGCTATCTTTTACACGATATATGCGACATGTAGTTGTCTGAACATTTCTAGCTGTAGATCTTTTGTCATTCGGGACTCATCTTATATTTGGTTAAATTTCATTCCTTCAAAATCGACCTCAGATAGGAGAAATGGTTGTAACATGTAGGTGTCTCTACTTTTCCAGCTATGCCATTCGGGACTCCTCCGTTGAGACCTGAGAAAAGGGGACTAAGAAAACAAACTATCAAACCCCTTCACACCGCCGTAACATGTATGCATGGGGATTATTTAAGCATCACTGAATAGAAGGACAATTTTTTCTAATTTGGGTCCAAACAGGCAATCACAGCCAAGCATATGTGGTAGTTTAGGATATTTTGGGTAAAGGTTTAGTTTTATTTGGGCTTGGGTTAACCTAACATGGGTTATTAATGTGTTGTCGGCTATGGTGGTATGCACAGCCACAACACACCCGGCAGGTTGTGCCTGACATGTGCAGCACATGGATTGCCTGCCTCTAGCCCTATAAAGGGAGTAGCTTCACAGCACTCCTTGTTTTTAGCCCACTGGTTACTTCGGGTGTTATATTTTTACCAGCGATGAGGCCTGATTCATAGAGCCTACTTGAAGTTGGCTACTTTACCACCATCACATAAAACAGTACACAAGGTCCTATACCCTACACTAGCCAACTTCAGCTGTCACTGGGCAGAGAAGCCAATTACAAATACATGAACATACAATGGCGCTTGATTTATACCCATGTGTCAACATATAGTATGATCAGAAATTATTGAGAATTTTAGGAATATGTTTAATTGGATTTCTAGTATAAACAACCTTGACCAGCTATCAAGTGCTTGGTTTCATTCAAGAGAGACAACTCCGTTTAACCTTTTTATTAGTTTGTGAAGAGTTATCCCCCTTTGTTTATTTGCTAGCAGACGACAATTTCAGTGATCCTCAGTATGGATGATTTAGAGAGAGGAAGTTGATTTTAGAGTATTGTAACAAGGACATCTGATCAGCTAAAGTGATTTCAAGTAGAACAGGCATCCTTTGTCCACTGTTTATCGTGTTTTGAAAAATATTGCCAATGGATATGGCATTGAGCACCAGGGAGTCGCAGGTAGGCCCAGAAAATTGACTGTCGGTGACAGGAGGGGGCTTGGTATTCTTGTTTCTAAAAACAAACGAAGGAGTTTAGAAAACCATTTCGCAATATCGTCTTTTCGCGTTATCGCCATGTCGCAATGTCGCGTCGTGTTATCGCCATTTCGTGTCGTATTATCGCCATTTCGTGTCGTGTTATCGCAATGTCGTGTCGAGTTGTTGCCATTTCGTGTTGCGTTATCGCTATATCGTGTCTTGTTATCGTCATGTCGTGTCGTGATATCGCTATTTCGTTTTTGTCTGTATCGCAATATCGCTATATCGTGTCGCCATATCGCAATATCGTGTCGTACTATCGCTTTCTCGCGATATCGCCTAGATTTCTTCAGGGCGATAAAGCGATGGCCCGAATGAGCCACCATAGTAATCTTCTATACAAGCCCATCATGATTATGGTGCTATAGTGTATCTTATCGTCTGAATCATCATAATGCAGCAGCAACCGAAAAAGAAACAAATATGTTCGAAGAAGCACCAAAAGGTGGAGTGGTTATTATTATTTAAGACTAGGTCTGTT